GTGTAATTCAATTACCTATGTATGTGATACAAAGAATCATAATGCCAAAGAGGCCTATGGTAATCTTAGCCAAGTCATAATAATCATATGACCTACACATTGCAAGTAATGATATTAAAATATAAACCAGTCAAATCTTGACATAGCTAATTATTTTTTGCCTAATTACCTCATTTCTAAATAATTTAAGATTTATCATATCAAGTATTGACTCAGTTGGTATAACACTCATATACTCATTTCAACAGCAGAAAACATTACTGAAGATGTTAATTTCAGGGTTTCAAGTACCTCTCTTCAATCCTCTGTCAAATTTAACAGTGCTGAAAGAAATAATATTTTGTCACCTCCATACCAAAAGCTAACAGTGAGCAGGATTGATATAGCTAGGAAAGGAGCAAGAACAAATGAAATCAAATTAAATCTGGTTCTTTTTCTTAAATCAGCCATGTCTGAATTCAGGGTAAATCAGAGCTCTTTATATCCAAGACTGTGGCAATAGCCTTCCAGCACTGGCTGAAGAGAAACTAATCCATTATAAAAATTAAGATAAATGGAATGTTCTAGAGGTGATTACCAAAGCTACATAAAACCGTATACCACCTAATTGCTTTTGTTTTTATTTCTTTTCAATTGTATGGACTATTCTCTAAATCTACAGTGTAAATGAAGGGAACCATTTTAGAATGAACGACTTGTATTACTGACTGGTATTACTAAGACTAATTGAAAATACATAATTTTTAAATTATTAGTCGAGAAATCAGAGGGGAATTGAATGGAATTTCCTCCACTACTAAAATCCTAATAAATAAGCTTCTACTGGGCATTTTGAACTCCAGCCATTCTCAATAATTTTTGAAATTTAATATACACACAATGTCAGGCATTTATTATTTTACTTAAATTGTTATGGAATATCTTCTATTCGAATTCAAATTAAAGCTTAATATAGATTATGTCTCTTGTCTAAAGTCATCACTTACCTAATTCTCAAAATGAAGCATTCTCTAAGTTATATTGCCTCTTCAATTTTTCAACTTTTAAACAAATGTTTTTGTCTCATGTAAGAGCTTTCCCATCATAGAGATCAGAACTTAGTCTTCATTCTTTGAAGCTATAGAAGAAAATCTAAATCTCCTAAATATATTCTAAACTTTTCCTCAAATACTTCAGTGTTTTTTTAATGTAGGTTTTATATTTGTTGCAGTTGAGATAAAATTTTAATTTTTCTCTTAATGGGTTATCAATTGTCCTGATTTTACTTATCAAATACATCATATCTCTCAATCTGGAAGCCACTCACTATATATTAAATGTTAATCTATTAGCGTTTATTTCTTGATTTTTCATAAGCTGCACTGCTTGATTTTTATATTAGTTCTGATATTATATTATTTTCATTACAATCATTTAAAAACATTTTGATAGCTGGGAAGACCAAACCCTGCCTCTCCATCTTCCTACCCTTGCATTTTCTTTCCTCTAAAATATATCTGGCCCTTACTTGCAGAATTACAATCCTATCTATGAATGTAAGATATATTCAAGTCTTCCTTCAATTAAAAAAAATCTATTGGAAATTTTATTGGGAGAGTAAGAAATTTCTTGAAGATAACTGGTATCTTTAAAATATAAAGTTTTGGCCGGGCGCGGTGGCTCAAGCCTGTAATCCCAGCACTTTGGGAGGCCGAGACGGGCGGATCACGAGGTCAGGAGATCGAGACCATCCTGGCTAACACGGTGAAACCCCGCCTCTACTAAAAAATACAAAAAACTAGCCAGGCTTGGTGGCGGCGCCTGTAGTCCCAGCTACTCAGGAGGATGAGGCCGGAGAATGGCGTAAACCCGGGAGGCGGAGCTTGCAGTGAGCTGAGATCTGGCCACTGCACTCCAGCCTGGGCGACAAAGCGAGACTCTATCTCAAAAAAAAATTTTTTTAAATAAAATAAAATAAAATATAAAGTTTTATATCTACAAACGTGGATTATGATTCTATTCTCCTATGACAGCTTTTACTCCTTTAGTAGCGTTTTGTAAATTTTTCCAATAAACCCTTATACATTTCTTATTAGGCACATGAGTAGGCACTTTATAATTTTTTTCACAATTGTTTTGGGATCTCTAGCATATTTTCTAATTGAATATTCTTTTTGTATAGGAATATTATTGATTTTCTTATTTTGCCCTTGTTTCTGGCCACTCTGCTGACCTATTTTGTCACATTGTTAGTTCATATTATTGAGTTTTCTGTGAAGAGAAGCACATTGTATGAACAAAAGGAGAATGTTAACTCTCTCCAATATTTATACTTCACATTTCTTTTTCTAAATACATCGATTAGGAGCTCCTGTATCATCCTCAATATTGTTAAAAATTATGACTTTTTTCTTATCTCTTACTTTAACTGGAATGATTCCAATATTTGACAAATATACTATTTGATGTAAATTTTTCTAAATATCTTTTCTCAAAATTGAGGCACTTCATTCACATTTCTTGTTTCTTAGCGCACTTGCTATCAATGCATGTTTAGATTTGTTAATACTTTGGATGCAGCTTATCACATATTTATTCTTTTAATAAATGTAGTAGATTATATATATATAAGACTTTCTAATGTTGATTAATCTTGCATTTCCAGATCAAATCATACTTCTGGATATGGTCTTCTTTCAGAGAATACCTGAGGTGAATCTGAGGACATTTTATTTGGGAATATTGAATCTATGTACATAAATTAATTTGACCAATAATTTATCTTTTGTTATCTTTGTAGTGTTTTGATTTGAGTTATTCTAGCTTGTACTTATCCCCGCCTATATCCTAATTTATACCGAAAGAAATATAAATTATTCTATTATAAAGACATATGCACGTGTATGTTCATTGCAGCACTATTCACAATAGCAAGGCATGGGATCAACCTAAATGACCATCAGTGATAGGCTGGATAAGGAAAGTGGGGTACATATACACTATGGAATACTATGTAGCCATAAAAAAGAATAAAATCATGTTCTTTGCAGGGACATGGATAGAACTGGAGGCCATTATCCTTAACAACCTAATGCAGAAACAGAAAAACAAATACAGCACGTTCTCCCTTGTAAGTGAGAACGATATGATGAGAACTGGTGGACACATAGAGGGGATCAACATACAATGGGGCCTATTAAAGGGTGGAGGATAGGAGGAGGGAGAAGATCAGGAAAAATAAATAATGGGTACTAAATTTAATATATGGATGATAAAATCATCCGTACAACACAGCCCCATGACACAAGTTTACCTACGAAACAAACCTTCACCTGTAACCCTGAACTTAAAAGTTAAAAGTAAAAATAAAAAACAAAAGCAGCAAGAGTAGCTTTTAAAAAAGAAAAATAGTCAATTAATTTTTCAATGTTTCCATGTTTTGAAATAGTTTTACATAGTGAAATACCTTTCTTTAAAAGTAATCTGGACATTTACACGTTTATAAGTCTTATTTTTAGACTATGTTTTACTATATTTTTATTTTTTCTGAATTATTAATTTATAACTATTGATCACTTCTAAAAAGTCTGGATTGTATATTTTCTTATAAAAGTATTTTTCTTTCGTCTTATTTAATTCAAAATTTGTACAAAGGAGAAACCTTCTAAATTTTAAGTTCTGGTTACTTGTTTTTTTGTTTTAATATTTTCATTGAAGGGTACCTTTTCTCTGCTTCTCTTTCTCAATAACATTTATCAAGAATTTGTCTGTGCTTTATTTTCCCAGATCTTTTTTAAACATTTGCCACCAGGGTAGTATATTTGTTACAATTGATGAGCCTACATTGACACATCATAATCACCCAAAGTTCATAGTTTACATTAGGGTTAATTCTTAATGTTGTACATTTTATGGGTTTGAAACAAGGTATGATGACATGTACCCAAAATTATAGTATGGAGCAGTTTCACTATCCTAAAAATCTTCTGCGCTCTGTCTATTACTCCTCACTCCCTACTAAACTAAGCTTTTTACTGTCAACTACTAAGCTTTTTACTGTCTCCATAGTCTTGGCTTTTCCAGAATGTCATATACCTGGCATTACACAGTATGGAGCCTTCTCAGATTGGCTTCTTTCATCTAGTAATAGACATTTAAGTTTCCCTCGTATCTTTTCATGGCTTGAGAGCTCATATATTTTAACATTTAATAGTATTTCCTTGTCATTGGATGACAATGATGTGCCACAGTGTATCCATTCACCTACTGAAGGACATGTTGGTTGCCTCCAAGTTTTGATGATTTTGTGTAAAGCTGTTACAAACTTCCACATTTTTGTATGGACATACATTTTCAACTACTTTGGGTAAACAGCTAGGGGCAAAATTTCTAGATCATATGCTAGGAGTATGTTTAATTTCACAAGAAATTACCAAATTGTCCTGTAAAGTGGCTGTACCATTTTGTATTTCCATTAGCAATGAGTAAGAGTTTCTGTTGCTGCACATTCTTGTCAATAGTTGGAGTTTTTGGTGCTCTGGATTTTGGACACTCTACACAAGTCTTTTCAAATACATATTTTTAAGGCTTTATTGATTATTTGTTTATATTTATATTTTCTTAACTATTTGAAAATATAATTATAATTCCTTTCAATTGATACTAATTAAAAATAGTTCATATTGCCAAAATTTATGGAAATTTACAATAAAGTTAATAAATAAGCAGATCTTTTTTAAAAATAAAATGCAGTGGTATTTCTCCAATAGCTGGTAAGTAACCATGGCAGGTTTCCAGACACCTATTAGATTTTCCAAGAAAATAAGTTACCATAGCAACTCTAAAAGCATATTATATGGTTTTAGACCATTACTACTCACTGATACTTCTTCAAATATGAATACATGTGTGAATATATCAACTCATAAACACATTGATTCATAATAAATTAGTTTACGGCATTTACAACATTGCTGCATTTTAAAATAAATATCATACAACGATCCAAATACTTTTTTTATTTTTTAATGGAACACTTCACGAATTTTCATGTCATCCTTGCACAGGGGCCATGCTAATCTTCTCTGTATCATTCCAATTTTAGTATATATGCTGCCGAAGTGAGCACTGATCCAAAATACTTTTGATCATTTCAAATGCAGGAACAGGTAGCTAGAAAGCTAGCTGTGTGATGGATCTCCAACTCCTAACATTATACAGAAACTCCACTGATCATACTATTTCCATGTCAGATATTGAAAGCAGCTCTGGAAGGTCAAGAAAGAGATGAAATGGGAATCCTTAATAAGTATTTGAGAACACTGGTCCCAATTCCCACCTCTCATTCTTTAATGGAAAAGAAGAGTTGCAACAAGTATAAATGCAGGCAAAGAAGCAAACCCGATAGCTTAATTCTAAGCATCCCTTTCCTTAATAAAGAGGAGTTGAAAAGTGAATGACTTAGAATACTCAGGTCTAGACTTAGTGATTTCAGAATTATCCTGGAAAGCTCTTAGCTGAACGAAGGGCCTTCAGAAGGTTTAAAACTGCATATTGAACTATTGAGACTGTCTCTCAGCCATTTTTATTGTTGGCAACAGTCCCCAACCCCACTCTCACACTGTTGTGGGGGTTGTTAGCCTGAAAATTCCATCATGTCACTCCCACGTTTCAAAATCGTTTATACTTGTCCACTGTCTACATCATGATGTCTATACTGCTTTTACCATGGTGAGGAGTCCAGCTTCTGGTGAAAAAACTTCAGGTAATTTCCAGGTCCAGTCTGGTGATTATAAACCCTTCACCTGGAAGGCTTAGGAGAAAGCTGCCTTCCCCACAGCAGACGTGGAGAACAGTTAGAGCACTGCAGTCTCTGAAGGGAGCAGCAGGCAACGATTCTGGCCCCATCTGGTCAGTCATGCTCTTTGCATCTTTGCATGTCTGGCCCCAGCAGGATACCTCCATTCCTAGGTCATTTCATCTGAGGGCCCCCAGGCTGAGGTCTCTCTCAGGTACCGCTGCCAAAGCCTCCTTAAAGCACTGGCAGGCTGGGTAGAGGAGGTTGTGGAGACTCTGACTCAATGCTCAGAACATTTCCATGTTTAGGCCTTCTCCCTCATCCTCTCCACTGCTTTAAGGTCCGTAAAACTGCTAGAGATTTTCTTGGGGACTCCCTCAATAGTAAGATGCCTCTCATATCTGCTCTGACCTGTGCTCCGTTTTATAGGGCAAAATGCAACAGAAGGTTCATGCTTTCTCTGATTTTATCCTTTTGCTTATACCATCATAAAAGAGTAAAGCCTAACTTCTTGTATATTTTTGGCTTCTTGCTTTAATTGGCTACTCAGACACCTCACAGCTCACCTTTCTCACTCCCAGTTTATCTGAACTCTTGTCATATGACACTCAGGCCCTGTTAGAGTTTGCAGAAATGTGTCTTCAGGACCTCTTCTCACCATAGCTTTCTGAGCAACCTTGTACTTGCATCAGTCTCGACACTCCTCCTTTTATTTACTCAGTGATTTCAAGCAATTCTTTTCCTAGAACGCTCCCTTCTTCCTTGACAATGAATAATAGAAAAAGCAATCACTAAAGAACAACATAGACATGACTTTCTCTCAAAGATCTTCTCATCTTATGCAGGGGCATCCCCATGTTCCCCAAATCTTTTAAGTGCTTTACCACAGTTTTGTACATACAAAATTACATTGCAAATTATATGTCCACATTTTTTTTCTTTTTGACACTAATCGAGCATGTGGAAATCCAGAACTGTATGTCATTTTTATCTACATCCCTGGTCCCTAACCTAGGGCTTAGCTCACCGACGATGCTTAATAAAAAGCCTAGATCCCTAAAGAAGATTCTTAGATTTCAGCATAAAAGTGAATTAAATGTTTTGTTTAATAATAAAATAAAAGCATTATATAAAGGAGGAACACTTGATTTTGACCATTTAAAACATTTGTGTGAAACGTATCTGAAATTGAATTTAGTTTTGCTCAAAATTGTTACGTAAAATTATAATTTTAACATTCTTATGAATGTATATAATAGCTACACAATGAAAAATTCTTCCTCGATACCCTAAAGAATGTCTATAACGTATATGACATCCAATGGTAAACGAGTAAATGTTTGAGTTTTACACATTGTTATGAATATTGCTAAAATAAAGCATGCTATTCATAAGACTTGATCACCGCCTAAAACAATAATGCTTTTATTGTTATGTGCATAGAATAATTAACATTGTCACTTTTTTCTTAAAAATAAATTTTAGTTTTATGTAAAGCCAAGAATTACGTAAATAGAAATGTAATCAGCTCTACTTTACATTTTATTTTTAAATAGGAGAAATACGGACATTTACCCTTTATTTATTCTGCTGTTTGGTTCCCCTCCGCCCTTCTTTTGTGCTCAATATACACTCGGTCACTTTCTGGAAAGTCACATGTGGTCATAGAAAGTGATATTTTTATGTAAAAATGCTTGTTATTGCAATGGCTTTTTAAGGCAGCCTGATAACAAATTTCCTGTCACAATCTGAAATATATTCTCTTTCACATTTGCCACTGCCTGTGACTTCAACATTTATTCTTCACTTAGCTAATTGTTACTCATCATTCAATGTGAAGCAAGAATGTTGTTTAAAAAACAAAAACAAAACACTGTTTCGAAAAGTTTCAAGTTTAGGCATTTAAATCAATGTCTGAAAATATTTGCTACAACCATAATAATCAGGATACAAGAAAGAAGGACCTCAGCACCCAAGCCACCCCAAGGCCTCACCAAATATTACCACCTCCCAGGTCCCAGACCCCGAACTAAGTGTTAAGGATCCAGTGGTGAACAGAAGCAACATGGGATCCGCAGGTTGAGAGAAAAGACTCAGCTGGTGGGATGGGAGATAAAAAGGGAAAGAAATAAGATGGAGGGAAGGAAATGTTCAAAGTTGTGTAGCTGTGAGAAAGTATGGTATATATGGAAAACAGAAAGTTCTGGGTTTTGTGTGTGCGTTTCAGTTTGTTTCATGTTGGCTTCTTTTCTGGCAGTGGGGGACTCAGAATAGGGTGGAAACACTAGGTGCTGGGTGAAAAAAAATTACTAGCGTATCATTCACTAGACTGTCCTTAAAGAGGTTTCTCTAGACTGAAGGGAATAACTTTTATTACAGGTAGAGTCTAAGATTTGGATTCCCTATACAAATTCAGTAAGCAAGGTTAAAGAGGGAAGGGTTCAGCAGGCAATATTGGACAGTTAGGGTGTTAGAGAAGCACATTTCATAGCTCCTATGTGTTCCCCTGGTCCATATCAACTTCAGCAGCAGTATGATATTCAACAATTACAAGAAAGTGTTAAAAAATACTTTAAATAATAAAATTAAATGATTAATCTGATTTTTTGCCTGAATGGGTAAAACTGGCATTTTCAAATTGATTTGAAATATTTTGTCTTAGAGTATGTCAGCTCAGTTCAGTGTTTTGTCCATCTAATGATTCATGGTTCATTCTTTTTTTTTTTTTTTTTTTGAGACAAAGTCTCACTCTTGTCCGTCAGGCTGGAGTGCAATGGTGTGATCTCAGCTCACTGCAACCTCTGCCTCCTGGGTTCAAGCGATTCTTCTGCCTCAGCTTCTGGAGTAGCTGGGATTACAGCTGGGATTACAAGCGCCAGCCACCACACCCGGCTAAATTTTGTATTTTTAGTAGAGACAGGGTTTCACCATGTTGGCCAGGCTGGTCTCGAACTCCTGACCTCAGGTGATCCACACACCTCGGCCTCCCAAAGTGCTGGGATTACAGGCGTGAGCCACCATTCCCAGCCAATGGTTCATTCTTTAGATCACTCAATAAATAAATATTTATTGAGTTATTTCTACATGACTATTTTTGTTTTCCATGTCTAGTCTCCAGCCACCATAAGAAAAAAACATATTATGTATAAGAAATGAGAAATAAAAATAAAATCCTAAGCTGCCAACCAAAATAATGGACCCCCTGTTAGACAAACCTTGTAAACTGAGTTCCTGGCCATGACCAGATGGGACGCTGGACATGCCTCTTTATACCTCCTCCCCTGCTAACCACCATTAGACTTAATTTTTTCCTAAAGGGTTAGACAGAAACTAACCCTTTGGAAAGACTTCCTCCACCACTGATTTGAACCATCTTTGTGACTGCTCCTCCCTTTGGTGATTGTGATAAAACAACCAACCAGCATTCCTTCCTGTTAACAGACCACCAAGCATGGAGTGGTTCTGGCCAATATATGGAGGATGTGCAGTGAGGCTTTTCATGTCCTCAGCTTCAAGATGTCAAGGGGCAGAAAACTCCACTCCTGAATCATGCTAACACTGCCACTTTTTGAACAAGGACCCTTGGGAAAGCATGAAGATCATCTGCAAATGCACATGTTTCACCTCTCACAAATATATGTAACTCTTCTTATAGCTTATTAAATATATATACGTGTGTGTGTGTGTGTGTGTGTGTGTGTATATATTCACCTTCTGTGTTCAGCATAAATTCCTATATTATTCTTCCCACCCTAGAAGTGCTTGTTTATGGCTTCTGGACTGATGGCCACCCTGCAGGCTGCAACCCTTTTTGGGAAATAAAGCTCTCCTTTCCCAATTTATGGACCTCATTATTCTTCAGTTGACAGGAAGTAAGATACGTAAGAAGTATATAGTGTACCAGACATTGATGTTTTCTAAGAATAAAAAGTGAAACAGGAAGAGAGATGGAAACTCTATTCAGGTAGAGATGGCCAGAGAAGGCATCGCTGAAGGGATATTTTAAAACTTGAAGGAAAAGAGGGAATTGAGATATGTGGATATTGGGGAGAAGCACATCCCAGGCAGTTCAAAGGGCAAAGAGCAAATGTCCTACAGTGTGATCATGTTTGGCATGTATGAAAGAACAGTAAGGAGGTCAACCAGGAGGAGGACAGCAGAAGAGGAACACGGTAGAGAGGAGGGGGCCACTTTTACCCTAAGTGACATGCAAACTCACTGTGGAGTTTTGAGCAGGAATGACAACATCTTCCTTGACAGGATTAGTTTAGAAATGGTTTGCATATCGTCTAAAAGCAAACTGGGAGGAAGTAGGAAGAAGAAGTAGGAGG